TGGGGATGCCGGCACAGATCCTGGTCGCTCTGCCCCACACCCCAGCCAGCAGAATTTGTCCTTCCCTTTCACAAAAGACCAGATGAATGAACAGCAGCACTTCTGCCAGGCAGAGATGCCAAACTGGCAAAACAAAGCTGAGAAAACAGCACAAGATAGCAAGCAAGAATAAGAGACGGAGAAATTAAAAATCCACTGAAGTAAAATAAGATGTTGATTACAAGGACCAAGTCCAGCCACGTCTGCTCTGCTACATTCAGCAAAGCCCTTGTGGGTAGCAGGCTACATCCCGAAGGGCAGCCTCTCCCTGGGCTCATCCTCCTCTCCGTGCAGCCCCACGTGTTGAAGACCAAGCAGAGCTCACGCAGAGGCTCGCTGCCTGCCCAGCTCTGCCAGCAAGCTGCTCACCACGCCTCACCCTGGGCTCAGGTTTGGGGCCATCTGGACCTTTATGGACTGGGTGTTTCCTCACCGTCAAGGTCAGCAGTATTCATACCTTCCAGTCGTATGGTGGTGAGGCAGATCCAGACACTCTCTCGACTTCCCTCTATAGCCCAGAGTAAAGGGCAGGAGGGTGCAAAAACAGCTTGCCAGACTTGAAGCCCTGTTCATCCAAACCACGGGTCCAGCTCTGCCACTCACCCTGCCCCAGCTAATGCCCGTCTGCCAAACAGGGAAAGGACGCATTGCCACCGTGCCATGCCTCCGGGTGAGCGCTCAGCCCTGCTACTGAAGCAGTCCTCAGGAAAGCAGCCAGAGAGAAGGGCAGGAAGGAAGACAGCACAGAAAAGGGGGCGCAGCACTTTCACTGCTCTGTTTTTCCCCATTTCATTCTGAAGGCTTTGGCTTCCCCGGTAATTGTCAGCAAAGAAGCAAGCCCATTAACAGGCAGCCACAGATAAAAGGTACTAGAAGAGAAGGAGGAGGTGCCCTGACCAGCTAGCTGCTCACCTCAGGAGACATGGGATCAAACACAATTTAAGTAACAAGCCAGAGGAGACTTGCAACCTCAGCCCAGCTATCCTCTCCAGCTAATCGCTCTCGACCACAGAGTCTACCTGGGAGCAGGTTTTGCAACATGAAGAAATCATCTAGGCTGGAAACACAACAAATTTGTCCACTTTTGACTAAAGTCAACAACTTTCACTTGTGCCAAAACACTAGAAGAAACAGAAATTTAGTGCAGCATAGCAGGAAATGTCAAAACCAAACATTTTCTGGTCCTGCAAAGTGATGAAGAGTCCACTGTAGCCATGAAGAAAGTCACTAACAGAAAAAGAACAGAAGTCAGGGAGCTGGATTTTTAGTGTACTATTCCTTATTCTAGGAGCAATTATTTAAAGAATTTCATCCAGCATTTTAGGGTTCCACGTATCATTGTGCCACTCAGAGTTAAAAGAGCAATGATTTGTGCTCTCAGTTATTTCTGGTGAGCCACAAGGGAGGCGAGGACAGAGAGGCAAAGCGACATTTCTTAATCTCCAAGTGCTGGGATTTGTTTCGAGGCACGCCGGGAGCAGCCGGCCAGCCAACACGATGCTGCACCACGAGCACCCAGAGGGCTGAACACCGACTTCAATGGGCAGAGAATCAACTCAGCAAGGCCACGGTCCTCCCTACAGCCCCAAGCCCACAGCGTTCAGATATACACGTAGCCCCATCACAGCCAGTCTGACCGAGAGGGACATTTGCACTTCAGTGTTTTCAAGATGTGGACATCAGGAGAGAAATGAGGTGGTGTCTCACAGCTGAAAGGCGAGTCCCTGGCATGACGCCCCTTTGCATCTCAGACCTTCTCACTCTCCTCTAAATTTGCTACAGAAAAACACTCCAGTTGAGCAAAGAAGCATCTGAATGGTGCAAGCTTGGATAATCTCCCCAGGGAAGCATATGAGATAACTGCCTGTCCACCCTGCAGGAGAGGAGGGAAGCGAAGGCAGTCAATATTTAGTACCCCAACTCTAGAAAATGACTGAAGAGTTAGAATAAAAATCATTCTTGGGTGGGCAGCACTCCAGCAAGATAAAATATTCAGCAGTGTTATGCACCTGGACACCATATTTCTGACAATAAATTTCATGCCTCGTATGCCACAACAGTTAACGATTTCAGTCAATAACCAAAGAACAGGTCCACATCCTTTCACAGCAACCCAAGAAAAAAAATATTCATAAGTAAACCTGACAAACCTCAGAGAAGGGTATTTTTATTATTATTTACTGGTCTGCCACTTTGATACTCAGGCCTGACCTGGAAAGGGAAGATCCGTTTCTGGCATGGCACCACAGCCCGTGCTTACAGGTTTCACAGACCCATGACAGTGGGACCCACCGCCTGCACGGCAGACACCACCGAGTTCAGAAGGACCAGTATGGTCTTCAGTGACACCGGAGCCCTCTTCCCCTCCCTTTAATATCATTCCCTATGCACTACGTACCAGAAGCCCTCCTCTGCAGACACTCTGCAGACATGTCCCAGGCTAACCCAAAGGAACATCAGCAAGTTTGGGCAAAAAAAGGGCTCTACTTGCCCTATTGTTCTTTGTCCTTCCTGCCCCACATAGATCTATCCCTGCCTACTAATTAACTTTCCTGAGAAACCCCAGAGGACGGGATTCACTTCCAGCTAGACAGACGTTTCAGCTCCCACAGCTCCTCAGGCAGTAGCTCGCTCCATGAGGGCACACCACAGCTCTGCGGGTTGGTGCTGGACTCCAGCACCCGCATTCCAGTTGCAAGCCAGCATGACGATGGAGCAAGCTGAGATACAAAGTCCAAGTCATGCCCAGGCAGTGCCCTTTACAAGAAGGGAAGCACAGACTGAGTCCCAATCTTAAGAATTAGTTGCTGCCCTCTAAATTTTGAGTGTGGTTGCAGCAGAATATTGATTTATTTTTTTTTTAAACCATGTCTCAAGAGTAGATTACAATACCACTTTACAACATTAAACAGCTCCCATACTGCAACCCAGATGAACCTGTGTGCAACTGGTGGGTAAGAGGACTCCCTGCAAGTACAGCTCTGAGTTCTTCAGGATGACGCACATCAGTGAAGCTATGCTTGTTTGCACTAGCAAACGACATGGTCTTTAAGTGTCACTCACTGGATATTGCATTTATGATTCAAACCTGAACTTCACATCCCAAGTTACCCCCTGGAGATCGACAGACAGCCTCTACTAGTCTTTTCTCATGTTCCAACAGCAGCATGTTGGAACTTTCAGTAGCTTATTTTTTTGGTTTCAGGTGGTTTATACATTCATCAGACACAATAATCATGCACAGCTCCCTCCCTTCACAAGATGGTTCCAAAAAACCCTTCAATCCCTCTGTAGTCAGTTTATCTGGTATTAATCCATTAAAGTGATGCACTATCAGAAGCATTAAACAGAAAAAGTGGGAAGCTCTCTTACCTGTAATTGACTGACTGGCCAATAGGAGTCAAGTGCTGGCAAATTGGAGGTGTAATTTCTATTTAATTATGGCATTAAAAAAATTACATGATATACCTATTTAACATGCAAAGGAGCAAAATCAAAGCTAATAAGAATAAATTGTAAGAGAGGACATGTACAAAATGTAGTAGCAGTCTTTTTTTTTTTTTTTTTTTTTTAATGTGCTCTGCAGAGAGAAATTTTAAAAAAGTTTGTACAGTTTTTTTTTTTTTTTTTTTTTTTAATGTGCTCTGCTAAAGAGTACGCTGGCTGTTGCACCTACGGATTGCCTGGAAAACTTGCAACCCCGGCTCTGATTCTAAGACTCTGCCATCATGCAAAACTGCATTGCACAAATGCACAGATACAATCAAAAATATTTGTTAAAACCAAAGCACCGTATACACTTTTCATGCTGCGCATGAAGTTTACATCAATCCAGTTGAAGTTCAGTTGAAATGAATGCAAGCAAAGCCCAAATACACCATTCTAGAGCTCAAGTATGAATGCGAATGAATGGATGAACTATGAATAGTTTTGCAAGCTTTCAATTAAACTAATTTTAAAATGCATTTAAAAGAAAATAGTGCAACTTCTGTGTTTAGACAATGGGATACAACCAACAGCGTAAAACATGAACAGTTCTGTTGAAGCCAGTAGAGCTACGAGTGTAAGACGGAGAGTCAGAGGCCCATAAATCATTGGCATCTGAGAAGAACATGCCACTGCCATGAGAACACGCAAATACACCCCATGCTTTTTTCTGGGGCAACATATTTATCATGCTCGAGAAGTCTATTTTCTTTAGATTAATACCATAACCTTAGTTTCAAATTATTCCATCTCAAAAGACAGCACAACAGTGTTGGGAAGGGGAAACAGGGTCTTACTGGGAAGAGGAAACAGAGAGAGTCTTAAAGACCCTTTGATCCACAAGCCTAATAAACCACGACGAAGCCGTTCTGTAAGTGCGCTGACCCAACCCAGGGCTCTGCTGCCAGGAAAAGAGGAGGTCTGGCTTCTGCCGTACTCAGGCCCTGGTGCTAATTTGGGGGGCAGGAGGCAGATGCCAGCATCAGTACAGGGTTTTGTTCTGTGCAGTTGGAAACAGAAGCCGAACAAGAATTACAGTTTTACCTGCAACACATATTTAAAAACACAGAGCTTCCAACGGCTAGTCGAATTATCCTTTGAACATTTCCTGCTTTGTCAACAGAAGTTTAAAATTAAAACACAAATTAAACTACCTTCAGTCCCTGGAGGAAAGGTTAGTTGGATTTAAGATGCATTTAGTGTGTCATACAGAAAAAAAAACCACCCCACAGGTACATGCTCAGATAGCAGTGACATGCAGCCCGAGAGACAGACAGATACAAAACACACTCACTCCCACACACTCCATAAATGCATCAAATTGACCAGCAACCAGACACACAGCCAGCCGTGACCCTGCACATGGAGTGAGCTGAGAGGGTGACTTATTGCAAGTGTTCACACAGGTGATTTCTGCAGATGAGAACATTCATCGCCACAAGGAAGGCAGCACAGGTAAAAGACAGACAGCTTACCCCTCTGAGCTGTTGGACTCCACCAAATATCCTCATCACTCCATCAATCTCCTGCTCCAGCCTCCTGGCCCAGTACTGCATACTGCAAGAGACGGAGAGACAGCGAGAAAGAGAAAGGGAGAGAAAGAAAGAGAGACAGAGTCAGAGCCCTGGCACTTCACAGATCAGCAAGGCGACTGAAGGCAGAGGGAGGAAATTGAAATCGGTGCCCTCTGCTAAGTTAACTGCTGTCTTTCTGCAGCACCGGGTGCAGGCAGAATAGCAAGAACATGCGGCTTTGAGAATTACGGCTGGGGCAGGTTCTAAACTTCAAGACTTCCAAATTTATGCACAAGGCACCACAGAGAGAAAAGAGGGGGAAAAAAAGGTACAACCAAAATTGCAAGGCATGAGGTGGTTTGTTTTATTTTTTCTCCTTCTTATGTAAACAGTTGCAGTAGATAATTATTTAAGCCCAGAGTGATTAACAAGGTCGAAGTGCTGTGGCGTACAGAAAACAGCTTACTGCTTCAGCAGGGCTCTGTGGCAGAGAGCAAACACAGAGCCACGGCAGGACCAGCGGTGCCTGTCCTTCTGCGGCGATGGATTATTGCTGCGGCACAACAGAAGAGACCCGGGCAGAGGCAGGAGCCAAGCACAGGCCATCGAGTGCCCGAGGGCTCAGCTGCTTTGCACTTTCAGCTAAGCCCAACCTGAGCCGGGAACCGATTCTGCCAGGTCCACCGTGGGCAGAGCTACCTCCCGGGGCAGCAGAAAGGGCCAGGAGCTGCCACGTGGCCCCTCCTTCATCCTGACCCCTGTGAGGGAGCTGGCTGCCAGTCCTTCCAGCACCATCCCTATATATTCAACTACACAGATTTCCGCTTAGAGCAATAACACCAAGTCAAAACAACAACAAAAACCCCTCTTCTAAATCCACAGAACTTGATAACTCTCCTTTTAATGAGATTTCCTGACTCCAGCCGCTGGCCACGCAAATGTCAAGTCTCCCATCTGACCTGGAAAAGCAATGCTCAATTGCCTCTGCACTGCCCTCAGTGCTTCTTCCACAGCAACGTTCATCCCTCAACGCTACACCGGAGAAAGGAGGGATGGAGAACAAGGAATAGAAGGTAAGGCCGGCATCACGGCAGAGCGATGGTGGGAGGGACCAGACCAGCTCAAAAGTTTTGCACTTGGCTTCGGTTCACCACATGATTTCATTCCTCATGTAAAGAGACGCTCCCCAGACAGCCCACGCACGCTCTCCCACCACCCACAAAACCATGGAAGAGTGTCTCCTGGAGATCAAGGAGCAAAGAAATCCAGCTAAGAAGGAAGGCCACAGAGGACTCTGAATTTTACAGCATGGCCCAAAAACTGGGCAGAAATATCAAAGCAGAAAGATGCCCGAGACAGCCAGCAGAACAGAGCTGAAGCATCACTTGTGAGAGATGGGGGGACGAAAGGAGGCAGAGGGAGGGACTGGCAGACAGACGTGTGTTACTCACACAGGCAAAATTCATGCCAGTTAATAACATATGAGGCTGTGGATGAAAACAAGATTTAATTGCGCATGCCAAACCTTTTCAGTATTTCTTATGCTATTTCCCGCATTCCTGAAGAGGTAACACTGCCTCTTCTCCCCTGGGAGCCCGGCTGGGGAGGAGGGGACATCCAGGGATGGAGATGGGTGAAGACATCTGCAAACCCACCTTTCTGCCAAAGGAGGGAAAGCAAAGCCTTCAGTGGAACTGACGGTGTGAAGGTAACGGGTCACAAACAGACCTGAGTGGGGTTTTGGGTTGGTGGTGGTTGGGTTTTTTTTTGTTCCCAGTCAAACATTTTATTTGTCTTCAAAGGTTTATTCAGGTTGTCCAAAGTTACCCATAAATCTTCTGAAGTATTTTCACCAAAAATTATTTTTACACATCATTCATTTAAAAAAATGCCTTGAAACACCAAAACTGAATATTTTTCCCCCTCCTCCAGTTTGTCCAGTGAATTGAAAAAAAAATAATAATAATTTAAAAAAAAAAAAAATCAGTTATATGCTCATACTCAGCCACAGGTCTAAGAAACCCCGCTGAGGACTTACGGAGCTGACACCTTTCCTTAACTTCCAGCTCTGTGCAAGATCCTCAATTTCAGTGACACCTGCCTGTGTCAGCTCCCTCCAGGAACACCTACACCACCATGACAAGGGAAAATTACCGTCCATCTTGAACTGTATCCATCAACATTAACAACTGCTCATATCCACATAAACGTCACATATGGCCAAGCCTTCAGAGGGGATAAGTTATAGAGGAAGACAGAGGCAACAGCATTACTCTGTTGGTATATGCAAAAGAGACACTGAGCGCTCAGTTGGGCTGGGATTTAAAATGAATTTAAATTTAGTCAGCAGATCTAAAAAAAAAAAAAAGTATTTTTTAAACTTATTCCACCCCTTGCCTCCACCCCAAGAAGTACTACTATTTTAGGGAAAAGCCATTGGATTTTTCATTCATGAGAAAGACTGCAATTCTCTTTAATTGTGCAGCCTTATGATATCTTGCTCTCAACCTTACAGACTAGCAGTTTCCCAAAAAGTCAAGCTAAGCCTTGTAGTACAAGCTTTAGATACCACTATTTAACAAAAAAAAAAAAAAAAAAAACACACAAAAAAACCAGTGTGTATTACATTATCAAAAAAGGGGGGAGGGGATTTCTGCATAGCTGACACCAGGTTTCTAGATTTAAAAACATAATAGCAGAAGCCACTTTTTTTTTTTTTTTGGTGTAGTATGGCTATAGGAGAGCTTTTGCCAGTGGTAGTAAAAATTTTTTTCTGACTAGCACATCCCTTAAACACAAGGGCTTTTGCCAGTTGTATGGGTATCTAAACCATTACTATTTCTCTCTAGCCCTCGTAATGTCCATGACCAGAGTCTTCAGAGTGGGCCACATCCCATAATTTGGAGGTTTCATCTCACTTGCCGTATGCTGGGTTGAAAGCTACCATTAAAAAAAAAAAACCACCCCCAAAAAAACCCCCAACATAAACCCCATTATTATTCTGTCTGAGTTGACCTTCTGCCTCTTGTTTCTCTCCCACGGCCATTGCACTTAAAATTTTATGTAAGATGACCGTAGCAAGGATGAAGAGGGTAAAGCAACTGATAGCCCATTATGAACATGGAGATTTCTCTTTGAAGCGTGTCTCCTATGGAAGCTGTAAGCAATAAGACATGACAGTCATTGCATTCCTGGGCTGTTACTGCACGCCTCAGGTGGTGTTGCAGGGCTTGAGGAGCAATAACTCCTCAAAACACACAGCCTGGGGTGCCCTACTGCTCTCGTGAAATGGCCTTTACAAATAAAGCATAAAGAAAACAGCTGACACATGGACTGGGAAGCCATGAGCACAGATGTAGTGCTGCTCACAGAAAGCCACCGGGCGCCCTTTATGAGCCATGTGCACAGTCTCCCCCTTAAACCGAGTACCACTTTAGTGTCCTCTGTAGTGGATTTACATGGGCGAGGAGAAAACCCTTGAGCTCAAGTGTTTGGGATTGCACTCGGTAGCTCTGTGCCTACAGGAACCACATGCAGTGCAGCCCGGCAGCCCCGCCATCCCCTGTCCCCTCTTTAGCAGGGACATGCACAGCACATCCCAGTGAGCCACCATCATCTCATCCGGCTCTGCCTTTGCTGGGAGACTCCATAGGACTCTTCCATCCTAACTACTCTACGCTGCTGAATGCACAAACATGATCACACACATCCAGGATATACATTAAAAGTCTCTGGCATTGAAAAAAATGGGGTTTTTTTCCTTCCCCTGTATATTTTACATCCTCCTGTGCAACAGTTAACAAGGGACATAAATTAATTTTGAAAACACAACACCATTTATCACTGCCTCTCCAAAGAAAACTACAAAAATGCTAATTGATTTCATAATTTGCATATTTGATTTTTCTTAAAGATGACATAAAGTAGGCTTAAAAAAAAAAAAAAGGCAGTAGAGCTTCAAAAATATTTACTGTGATGAGCAGCACATCAGGAGACAAATCACTGATCTTGCAGTCAGGGCCAGGAAGCAAAGCATCCCGCCTGTCCCACTCCTGCCCAGTGGGCACCTGTGCCTTGCAACTGGTCACAGCAACCTTGACTTAGGGTTAGGGCCCCTTTCTTGCTTTAGGTGACCCAAGCAGTTGCAGAGACTTCTGTGCATGTCTGTGTTGGTTTGTGAGGCTACACCACTACTCCAGCTGTGTGGGTCCGGAAGAAAATGAGAGTTGCCTGGAAAGACAGGAGACAGACTGTCCTTGGCCCACATCCTCCCACACTTATGCACACAACAGACGGCAGCTTGCAGTCCTGGTCTTCTCTACAGAAGCTGAAGACATTCGCAGACAAGCCACTGGTGCAAGCCACGCACTGACAGCCTGTGGCCAGCACCATGAGGACGTACCACTGCAGCTCTGCCCCTTGGAGGCTCAGGGTACGTGGGACAGACCCTTCATGGTCTGCAGTCACACCTCTTCACCTCTAACCTAGGGGTGGGGAAGGCAGTTACGCAAACTACTAATGAATATAAACCTCGTTGCAAGCGGCTTCTCACAAAAGCACATGGAAAGGAGAAGTAAGAGGAAAGAAAATTAGTTTTCTGTTTGAGGACATTTTTTTTTTGTTTTTTTTTAAAGCAGCCTTAGGGGAGGACTTGTTTGGCTGTGAGCAAGAAAGGATGTTAAAAAAAAAAAAAAAAAAAAAAGAGAGACTTGGTCCTTTTCTCTTACTGCTTTCCTGGCTCAAAACATAAGAGAAAGATTCACACAAACATGAAAGGACAAGAGGAAAAACCACTTGCTAAGTAGATATACTGCCCCAAAGCTTACTGGGTTCTACAGAGAGAGTGTTCTGTACAAGTGTCTACACTTCACGCAGTGTGTTCAGCCAAGAATGCTTCACTCTGATTCATACGCTTTGGTTCAGTGCCCAAATATTGCTATTTAATAAGGTTATTAATTACTGTGTTGTCTAATTTTTGCTGTGCAGGAACTTCTTATAATTGGCTTATTCCTTCAAGATGCTTAATCCTTTAACTATAATAG